TATTAGCCAATTAGATAATCTAACCATCTAGTGCTGATTCAATAAGCTGTGCTATTAATAGCTTGTAAGCTTTTACTTATTAGATTTCAACTAGATTATCTGATAGTTGTGCCAATTAGAGTATTGTCCTCCTTGTAAGAGTAGTGCTGGTATGAGCATTAGTGCTGGTATGAGCATTAGTGCTAGTATGAGCTTGTAAGAGTAGTGAAGCCAAAGTAATTGTATTAAACATATATTTCTCCATATCTTAATCTATACTGTCATGCTTATGTCAATTGCAATCTGTGACGTGGTTGGAGCGATCACGGTTCCAATCGTGACGTGGTTGGAGCGATCACGGTTCCAATCGTGACGTGGTTGGAGCGATCACGGTTCCAATCGTGACGTGGTTGGAGCGATCACGGTTCCAATCGTGACGTGGTTGGAGCGATCACGGTTCCAATTGTGACGTTGTGGTGTGATGGATGAATGATTTTGGTTGCATTTCTTAGTGCTAGAAATTGTGTTATGTAGGACTACTACTGCAGCTTCTATGTTTCAGTGGCATGGTAGGTGTTTTACTCCAAAAACTAGTATATTACCCGTGCATTCGCACAGGTAGGAATGCGTGTTGCATGAATTTTATTGAAGAATAACACGATAATTTGTGAATATTAAAAATTATTTCCAACAATATTAAACATAATTTGTTGAATACATGTTAACAACGCAACTTTCATTCACAACAGTTATTGGGGATTAACATAGTTAATGTTAAACCTATTGTGTGAAATAAGATGATGTTAACTGAAATAACATAATTAAATATAATTTGATGAATACATGTTAAAGATTTTGAAAAACTTTTTTATAAACCACATTAATTGTTGACTTTAGTGGGTTACCATCCTTATCGTAAATCAAAATCTTCAATCCTTTCTTGCTTTTAACTCTTGAAATAGCAACATATAATTGACCATGACTGAATACTGGTTTTGGTACATATAATCTCACACTCTCTAGTGATTGGCCTTGAGATTTATTGATTGTAATAGCACATGAAAAAGGAATTGTCTTCTTATAAGCTTGAAAGGCTATTGAGTTTCTGAGGGAGACATTGACGTCTTCGGAATATATATGATATTTCTAACATATATCTAAATTCCTCAATAACATAATTGGAGTTCTAATCTTCAACTTGATTTTATGATTAGGGATACCATAAGTTGAAAGTTTGTTTATAAATTCTAGAGTTAGTACGTTCACTACTTCAATATTACTAACGTCAGACTTATCAATTGAATTTGAGCTTAGATATTTCTTTTCCTCTCCTATAGTTAAACATTAAAAACATTTATTAGTATAAATCTATAAACATCTTCATTAAAATCACTGAAATTTTTGAGAGAAAAAAGAAAATTTACCTAGAATTATGCTTAGCACATATTCATTGATTTGATCTACAATATCAATTGTTGATGCTAGTATTGCCCTACATTGAAGAAATTATTCATCATTGTAATGAAGATGTAAGTCTGGAGAAGTGCTAGACACTATTGCTTTAATTGGGTTATCAAAATGAAGAATCAAAAGTTCATATGGAATATCAACTTCAACTCAACCATCATTAGGCTATGATAATTTTCCATCCCCAACCTTTAGTATCCATTCTGAGAATTCCTTTATTTCTGTTGCGTTGTCATTATTTTGCAAACGCATATTCTTAGTGAGATTCAAAATTGTACAATAATGCGAAAAATAGGATGAATTAATTGTATCATGCACAATATCTGAACGACAGCCTCTTGAAATTACTGGCAAAATTTGTCTAAAATCACCACCAAAAACTAAAACATTTCCTCTAAATATAATTGAGTCATTTGTTTTTGTACCCATTATATCTCCTAGACACATTGACATCCTCGGAATATATATGATATGTTCATTGAGTTTGTGAACAGAAAAAAATAGAACACATATTTGTGAACATAACAATAAAAAATATAAAACGAAAAAAAATATATTTAGTGGTTTCTACTGCTTCAACTCAGGTGAAACACACAGTGAAAAATGTAAGCTTATAATCTTCAAGTTAATAACATTACATATATGAAATTCAATTTTAGTATTAACAATGTTAAAAAGATTGTTTGTTACACATATTACAGAAAATGAGAGAATAAGACTTTTTTTTCCATCTTAGTTCAATTTTCCTTCTATCATAGAGTTAGACTTTGAAAATATTATCTTTAATCATGTTGCCTAGAACATAATAGATATGAGGTAGAAAGTTTTAAAAAAAATAGTACATTCATATGGAAAAAGAGAAATTTAAGCCACATGAGTTTAGAGTATGAGGTAGAAAGATTGAAAAAGTAGTACATTCATATGGAAAAAATAGAAAGTTGCATAGAGAAACATGCTCCAATAAATGCAAGTTGTACAATCTTACACATTAATTTATATTTTTTTTTTAAATTAAAAAATATTATTACAAATATACCCATTTGAAATCGAAGTGTAAATGAAAGGGATCTATTTTGCAGAATAGGGCATTTCCACTTGGTGATCATCAAATCAATTGTTTTCTTTTTATAGTCATACACCTCATCATAACTACTGCAAAATATGTCTATAATAAAAACATAGTATGTAAATATACTAAACATTAGATCAACAATATAGTAATTTAAAACACAATAAAATAATTGAAGTTATCATTTGAAATATGCAAAAAAGATGCAAGTAACTATTATTTGCTATTTACTTATTTGTATATACTAAATTGTTTTTTTAGCAAATAGCACCAAGAGAAAGTGCAAGTTGCTGCATATTTTCAAATTTGTAGCTACACATAAAATTACTTTAAGGCTATGACTTTATTTCCCATCTTAGTTCACTTTTCCTTCTATCATAGAGTTAGACTTTGAAAAAAATTATCTTTAATCATGTTGCCTACAACATAATAGGTATGAGGTAGAAAGATTGAAAAAAGTAGTACATTCATATGGGAAAAGAGAAAGTTGCATAGAGAAACATGCTGCAATAAATGCAAGTTGTACAATATTACACATTAATTTGTAATTTTTTCAAAGAATTAAAAAATATTATTATTACAAATGTATCCCTTTGAAATTATTAATATTCTTTTTATATATATTCCTTATGGTTACTATTTTAATACTCAATAGTAATGTTGCAATATTAGAATCAAATCTAAACTCTAATTTTTTTTCCACAATGAGTATTACCTAAATTAAGGAATCAAATATAAATCAAATATGTGTTACAGTGCATACAATTTTGTATATCTTACATTTGATTTTAATATAATAAATGTAGAAGAATCAATTTCATTATCATAATTAAGTCAAATCAAAGATATGATTTTTTTAAGTAAAAAATATTGTTTTTCTTTATAAGGGTTAATAATACATTATGACTTTTTTAGAGTCTTTATTACAAAAAAATGACGTTAAAAAAATTGAAGTTTCATTTCTATTATATAGAAGAATGTTATCCTCAATGGATACAATATTATAATATTTATCACAAATTCATTAATCAATAACCTCAATAACAATAATAATATTACCATTTTTACTTTAGATTGAGATCAATATGTTTTATATTATGGATTTGATAATTTTAATATGAATTCATACAATCATAAATATGAGAATATTTATACACACTATTATTATCTGAGAATAAAATAACTGAAAACAAATAAAATTAAAAAACAGTTATTATTGTTATTATTCTTAATAACTTCTAACAAATATTAATAATAGAAAATTATTAATATTCATTTTATTTTATATTATTTTATTTTTGTACTACAATGGTAACATTGCAATATTAGAATCAAATCTAAACTCTATACAAAATATATCCATAATGAGCTTTGTTTAAAATTAAGGAATATATATTTTATATGAGTTATAAATATTTCAATATTTCATATTACTTAATTTAGGATTAAATAATAAATGAATATAAATTTATATTATGAATTGATTGAAATTAAGGAATCATAAATAATCTGTATTGAAATTGTATTAATATTTGAATTAACTATTTTCCTAAGGTTACTACGTTATTTTTAGGACAAAAAAAATTAGAGACAAATAAAACAATATTATTACTGTTTCAATCCAGTGTTCTAAGGTTATAGTTAAGTTTTTAAAATTCTAAGGTTATGAAATAATATTATTATAGTTACAATTCTAATGTTATAATAAATGTACTTTAATGCTATAATATAGTGCATTAACCATGAGTTAACTTAGTGTATTAACCAACAAAGTAAATGTAATCATATACTGGTATATACTAAATCAAGTTTGGTGTCAGTATATGTTAACATATACTAATTGAAGCATGAAAAAATTAAGCTCACTTATTCTAAAATGATATCTGAGAGCTAAATGTTAATTGATTGACAATAATAATATTTTCTTACTATTAGGCCATATAAGATTTTTTTCAGAATCATTCTAGGCAGGTAATGCAAGGTAAGTAGTAGCATTATAATGAAATGTGAAGGGTGTCACTGCAACAGGAATTACAGTGAACAGATCAAAGCAGGTTGTTTGGTACTCTAACTTGGGATACAGTCTTGGTGTTTGTGTTTTCCCTTGCACCAGAGCAACAATTGCCAACCTAAAAGATATGCCAACAAATACATCATCAAGAGCAGTTGAGTGCATAATTGTACTTCAAAGATTCTATCAATTCCAACAATAAGCAAGTCTACATGGTAGTGCAATATATGGTTATACATCTATAAGAAAAAATAAGATCTCAATTGTTTACCCATTTGTGTTTACACCAAATGTACTCAAAATGTTATTTATACTAACAGATATTAAATTTGGTGTACAATGTTGCAACCATATAGCTTTGTACAACTTAGGCTGTAAATTCTCATTTACAATTCTACGTTCTAAATACTCTTATATTTTAGATTGAGTACATACCTAATGAGTTGTAGGCTTTACATAACTTTTCCTCCTTCTCACTTGGATGATAATGCTCCATGCTCTAGTGGAGCAGTGATATTCTAGACCATGAAGACATGTTGAATGAGTTATGAACAAAAGCATTATCTTTGAAATGCAAAGTTATCATGTTGGAGAAAAATATTTAATTCCCTTTTCAAAAAAAAAGTACTTTTAATTGATGATAAATTCCACAACAATGCCACTTCCACCCAGTTTGCTTATTAGTGTTTGATTCATATGCACATTGGTAGATGCATATCATGCTTTTACACAAATATTATAAAAAATTGAAATACATTTATCACAGATAGGTCATAATAGTCATCATATGACATATAAATATTATTTCACAACTTACATGATGTTATAGAGTCACCCTTTCATTTTACAAAGGAGCACATATAATCTTCAAGCAAGAATGTGCTAACAAAGTGGTTGAAGTAGAGTCACCCTTTCATTTTTCGGTTATCCCTACCATTCTCTTTTAATTCAAAGTGGTTGAAGTAGGAATGACTTTTATGGTGATTGCAGAGCTCTAGATAAAAACTCAGAGATGCTTCCAAGTTGTAGACTTTTGATTTACAGACATGAGGACTTCAAAGGTGTTCGTAGAAGCTATGGCAATTGGTAATCAACAAAATCATGATAAACACATCGAGGACAAAGATGGTAACATAATGTTTTCTATTTACATTTATGATATGTATTAAATTTTACAATGACTAAAAATATAAAGATGGTAACATAATGTTTTCTATTTACAATTATGATATGTATTGAACTTTGAAAAAAAATCATACCTTTAGTCATTCACCTTGTAATACATACATTGTGATTGTGTTGGTTTCAAACTTAGATTCACATAATCTTTTCTCCACTCTTTTATATAATTCAATAAATGAATAAATAGAATATCATGAAACAAATGATTAGCATTAAAAAGTTATAAAAATATGTCCCAAAAAAGAATATGTTGCAATGAAACATCTAAAACATATGGTACAAATGAAAACAACACAAAGTTGAAAACAAAAGAAAGGTTCACAAAACAACATGGAACACCCAAAGAGTAAAGATTAAAAATTTATTTCATAAAAATTGAAACTTCTTTCTATAAAGATTCCAATTTTCTTCCCTAACATAAAAAATTTCAACTTTCTTATCCAACATAAAAAATTCTAAATTTCTTCTATAAAGATTCAAACTTTTTTCTATAAAGATTACAACTGTCTCTTATAGCATCAAAATTTCCAATTTTTATTTATAAAGATTCAAACTTTCTTCTATAAAGATTCAAACAAAACAAAATGATCATCAACGAAATGATGAAAACATACTTATAAACAACAAAATATGTGTCAAAGTTGTGATTTTTATAACACTAAAGTCATGTCTAAAACAAAATGGTAAATATAAAGAAAAATATAAAGAAAAGTGAGAAATATGTTTACCTTGAAGAAGATGATCTACAAAATGATGAATATGTTTACCTTGAACAAAAATAATGAACACAAAATGGTGAATATAAAGAAAAATATAAACAAAAATGATGAATACGTTTACCTTTATGAAGAAGAAAGATGAATGAAAAAGATGAAGATGAATGAATAATAACATGAAGATGAAGATGAAAAAAAAGAGTTATCATTGACACATCCTTGGAAGGAAGAAGAGAGTAGAAAGAAGATGAAGTGAGTGATGAGAAATTGTTGAGAGAGATGAGAGAGAGAGTGAGAAAGATGAAATTTTCTATATCTGAAGTGAGTCTGTGAATGAATGATGAGAAATGGACTGAAGTGAGCTTTTAAATTTGATTTTACAAAATTAACCCTACCTTAAAAGCAAACCTTTGGTAAATTGGAAGGAGTTTTTAGTAATTTCTCACCCTACAGTAATAAATGCTGACAGTAGGTGGGTAATTCAAAAAAAGCAATATACAAAAATACCCCTAACTGAGTAATAGAAAGTAAAATATAATGAGGGTTATTTTAGGGAATCCGTGTTTATTTATTAGTTTATTTAAAGTTAATGTAAATGACAATTATACCCTTAAATAAGCCATGTATCAAACATATAAGATGTCCATTTTGGTAAATTCATCAGTCCCTTCAATTAATATAGATATATAGATGAATGACCAAAATGTTCTCCAAATAAATATGTAATTTTGATGTTGTGTTTTAGACACTTTTACCTTGTGTCCATTTTTTTGGAAAAAAATGTTTCAGTGGTATGGTAGTGTGCCCTTTTCGGATCTCTCTTTTCTTTGAAAGTTCACATATTGTTCACATAAGGTATTTTTTTCCCAAATTTAATTTTTGTTGCGAGATCCATTTAATTTCTTCACTTCGTGAAATAAGGGGAATTCTTGTTAATTATTACCTATATATTCTTACTATAAATTATGTTTTATTGCAAATTCTATATTATAGACCATACAAACTGAAATAGATAAGAATAGTCTTTAAGTTGAGTTGGGCCAATGATTAAGTCTTTATATTAGAATGCCCTATGGGAGAGTACCTCTGAGATTTCAAATCCGTGAAGTCACAATTACTGTTGTTCATCTTAAGTCTTAACTAAGTGAACCTACTTTAAAGAGTATATGGGATTCAGATATCTTTGTCTCAAACTCGCCAATTTTGTTTGTGATTCATGGGAAACATGTGTTATGTTCTAGTTCTATATAATACACCAAATGCAAAGGAAATGTTACTTAATAAATAAATGGTCTTCACCATACTCACCTAATTCACTGTTCTCTTCTATTCGAGTGTGTAGTACGTGATACACCACCTCTATCAAATATAGACATTTTTATAGGTTTGAATTAACGTTGGCTTCATCCTAAGAGAAATACCTTTTATATTATTTCTTGTTTGTTATAACTCACTCATATAGGTGAGTGCAACTAACAATATGATCTCTAGGATGACCAAAAGGTCAATAATTCGATTCATGTGAATAACACTTGTTGGGAGGAGATGCACATCCAAAGGGAATAGTTCTTTACCCATAGGGTGAGGGATACTCTTGTTAGTACCAAAAAAATATAGGTAAATGCTTATCACCGATTACTATTTATTCTTTCTTTAACTTAAACTATAGATAAAAATTAATTTATTAATTATAGAAAACCAAATTATAATATGTAAGAACCAATTGGTCACTTTTTTATCCTTCTTATAGAGTAGAAGATTTGAAGTTCAAATCATACAATGACAACTAGCTTTTTATTTATTTAATTTTATATTGTAAGAGATTAAGTAATTTACTTGGAAATATATTTGTGTGAATTACAAGTAATGAGTGCATGTTGTAGCAGAACATCTTTTTCACCAAAGTAATGAGTGCATGTTGTAGCAGAACATCTTTTTCATCTTTTTAGCATATACATAACATGCGAAGTCCTTACACAACAAAAATGTTTTGAGTGGATTATTATTCACGACAAACATTGGATCAAAACATATTTTGCTCAAATATTTCTCATTAGATATAATATTTGAACCATCATTCAAGTTCCAGTGAAGGTGGAAAAAGAAACAACCCCTTAATCCACATATAAAGTTTAATCAAAACCAGAAAAGAGTAAAATATACAAAAATTACTTCTGCATATGAACAACCAAACATGAGTATACAAATTACTTCTGCATATGAATACTAGTCAGTAGTCACTGATCTTTTCAAGCTAGACAATAGTAACCCACTACACTTGGGGGGAAATGAGAAGACTCAAGTAAAATGGTCTAGCTTAGTTTGTCTCACTGCACCAATCTTCACCAAGAACACATCCACTCTATCAATGCATCATTGTCTCTTTCCGTTCTTGCTTCGAAATGATGATAACAAGGAGAAAGAGTGAACTGCACAATATGTTTATCATGGTCCATATTCAGAATAGAAATGAAAATGATGATGCAGCCAAGAGTTGATTAAAGTCAAGCTAAATAAATTGAGCATGCAGTGAGTGCTTACCCTTTTGTTGGGTTGTGCTCGCAGCGGGAGTTTCATCTCGAGGGATCAAATTCTTCAAAGTATGAACTGAAAATGACATGGTAAATATGATGGTCACTTTAAATAAAATTGATGGGCTTGTTTCACATAATTTGTGGACAACATACTCAATCTTCAACAAGTTCATACTACAAAGGCATTTTGGAAAAGGAACAGAGATTTATATCTAGGCTACCTGCTCTAAAGCAAAGGCTATGGTAAAAAACAAGACTTTCACCAAGCCATCACCAATCATTTATTAGTAAATTATTGAATGGTCTAGGCTCTATATTACTTTTTATTTTTATATGCTACAGTTATATGTTCTTTACATTTTACTCTCTAAACTCTAATTTACACCTTGCAGTTTTGAAGAATGAAATTATTACCTAATGTTGGAATGCAGGTAAGCAGGTAAGTACACCTTGCAGTTCTAGAGAAACCAAAGCTCATAAAACACAGATATTTTATTTGACTTTATTTCTTATGGCTAACAAAGAAGGGAAAAGAGTGTTGTTGGTGTTGAGTATAGTTAAGGATGGAAACAGGTCAGACTAGACTTTGCCTTAAACTAACCGAGCCGATATAGCATATAGGAGCCTAATGGATAGTGCAGGGACTCCCTAAGCTCAATTAGGTTTTGTTAGCTTTGACCTAATGGATTGCACCTCAGCCCTCACAATTTTAACTTTAAAAAGCATGTGAAAGATGTGTGCTTGGGGGATGATGGTATCAACACTATGATTGTTAAAAATGAGATCTTAGAAGTGCTAGTAATTGCTAGATATTAATTTATTATGCTGATGCCTATGAGGCGCATATTACCTTCACTAGAGGAACTGTTAGGTCGAATCTCATTTGCCTCAGAACCATCAATGCTCACATTATCTGATTTCATGTTGTGTCCAGCAGTAGCTGAGCTATGACTCTTTCTTCCAAGCTTTAGTAGTCGTTTGAACCCTTTCGGCGATTCCTTTATCCGAGGCTTCTCAGTTGCTTCAGGAATCATCTCAAGTGTTGAGTTCCTGATGTCAGACACATGTGCTTTAACAATCTCCATTCTAATTGCTGCATTCTCTAACCTTGTAGGGACTGCATTCTCTAACCTTGTAGGGATTGCATTCTCTAACCTTGTAGGGACTGCATTACCATACTCAGTATTTCTTGTTCTAGGATCTTCCAAAGAAACTAGAGCCCATGGGGCGCGATATGTTTCCTCGGCAATTGAAATGCTGGATGATTTTGAAGTTTCTTTCTCTGTATTATCAATTTTGACCTGATTTTGGATGATATTAAAATTAGCTGATGCGTAAGTTATCCCATGCATGGACAGAGTTGAACAGATATTTTGGATGTCTAAGATCAAATTAAAATTTCTTGCACATACAATTAATGGTCTAAAATAACATCAGTTCTGAAATTTAAAATTCAATATTATCAAATTTTAACTATCATAGAGTTGAACAGAGAGTTTTCTTCAACACATAATGATGTCTGATCTTTTTATGCACACTAATATACTTAAAGGAGTGAGAACAAACAAGTCGGTTAAACTACCATCAAAAGCTACTCTAAACTAAGATATGAATACATACCACAGTAGATACGGGTTGCAGGTGGGGTTGTTTCTCTGTGGTTTCTTTATCTATTATATCCATGCTTAGTGGTGAAAGAGGTGCAAAAATAGGAACATAATTTGACGTTGTCTCAGTTTTCTCAATCACTTTATCATTATCATATTGTTTCTTTGATATCCCAATATTATCTCCAGATATACGAATGGTAGGAGGATCATAAGGTTTCTCATGCTCAAGCATCACAACAGTCTTCCCAAGGACTGGATTGTCATCCCCATCATCATTGGATGAAGATCTCATTTCATTTTTATTCGGCATCGTATCTTCCGAATTCATATCAGACTTGTT